TATCTATGACCATCCACATTTGCGCTGACATATTAGCCTCAGAGTCCAAGAGCCCGCCAATCCACTGCGCATGGCAGTCCACCAAGGTCTTGACCTTGGCGCCATGCTCGTTGATTCTTGATACCGCACAAGAACCTACATCTGAAGTCACGCGCGTGCACAAATATACTAATAAAATATATACATAATTTTGCGGCTGAAAAGGGGGGGGCGAAAACCAGCCTCCGTAAGAAAACATCGATGCGGTTATGGGGCGAATTCGACAGCGCACTGGAACTGCTTTCAGGCACGGGGAAATAGAAGGCAAAAAGCCGCAAAGTCTCGCATTGAGGGTCGACATGATAGGCTCTGTATACACAAGGTCTTGATCAAGGCCCACTCACAGCATGTTCTTGTTTGTCCCCAGTAAGTTTTGGCTGCGCTCATTGATATTCACTGTTGGCGAGAAGTGGAGCCCATGCATTAGGGGAAAGGTTGAGTTGAATTGAGCAGGGCATTTACAGTCCGGGGGGATTAAGGTTGAATTGAGCAGGACATTCACAGGGGGGTTGTCTTATTCTGTTGGTGCGTTTCCAAACTGGAAAAGAGCACCCCGAAGTAATTGAGGGTCGCTTGCCTGCCGTTGGTTTCTCCTATCTTGTACCTGGACTCATGATTGCCTAGCATCGAGCAAAGATTATGGGTGTTATGGGGTGAGGTCGACATTGCACTGACCTCTGCATACCTCTACTGTGTTGGGCCCGGGGAAATAGAAGGCAGAGAGGCGCAAAGTCTCCCGTTGAGGGCCGATGGGATAGGCTCTTTACACACAATGTTTTGATGAAGGCCCGTTCGCTGTTAGCGGTTAGAGGATAGAAGTGGAGCCCACGCGTTAGGAGAAAGGTTGAATTGAGCAGGCGCGTTACAGTCCGCAGGATGAAGGTTCAACTGGGGGGGCCCTTTGCCTTTTGGTTCTAGGGCGTTTTCAACCTGAAAAAGGGCACCCCTAAGTAACTGAGGGGCGCTTGCCTGCTGTTTGTTTCCTCGTCCCGTATCGGACTCATAAACTCGACGCAAGTTTACTGTCAAGCACAGGGAAATAGAAGGCTCTTTTTATACAATGCCTTGATCAAGCCCATTCACTGCCACGCGTTAGGACAAAGGTTGAACTGAGCCGTAACTGAGCTGGACATTGACAGTTTGGGGGGGCCTAGCAAGTCAAAGGTTGCTGACTGCATTCTATTTCCTTCTGTCCTCTACGCTTACATCTGTTGAGCCTCAATATGGGGCATCCTCTTTCAGGAGCAAAGAGGGCCCGCAAATGTCCTCCTGCGTTGTCCGAACGCTTTCTCCATCAGAAATAGGTTCTGGCTTGCACAAATCTCGCCGCTTCTGTCCTCTAACTGGATGGACACGCCTGGATAGCCTGAGCTTCTTGCATTTCCTGTCGCGCAGTCTCCTTTCTTGTCCTCTACCCAAACTCCCACCCCTAGTCAATAGACAGTCCAAATGGTTTCCTGCGCACTTCGTGAGTCCCCTACCCAAACCGATGTTAATGCACTCAGCGTCAGCTGCATCACTTGCATCACCAAGACTCCCTCAAACACACATGTTCACTACTTTCCGGACCACCTCTTTTTCCCGCTCTCCCCCACCAGGCTCTGCACTTGCAACCACCACCCCCCACCCTATCGGCTGGCTCGCAATATATGTACTGTATATATATTATATATATATATGTACATACCGTATTATACAAATATCTTGCCACATCACTCTGTGAATGGACTGGCTTGGGCGCTAGGCCAAGTTGTGCTTGGCATGCCGGGCATCAGTGCTGGCCTGGCAGTGCACCAAACAAATCAGCCTTCCCGGCTTGTCTCACACAGCTGTGAAATCGACTTGTGTAAGTACTTCAAGCCTACGGATACACCTAAAGTCAAACTGCGGCTGCTACAAAGCGCAGCTATAGCCTCCGACTGGAAATTGAGCCTGGGTGGTTGAGTGCCGACTGCACAACGGCTGCAAGGAACTCACTTCATTTCCAATTTCAATGGCAGGAACTTGGTGTCCCGACAAGAGGTTCCGGAGCTCTGGGGACTGCAGGGCTTGCTGTGCTGCCTTTCGGGACCTGTAAGCAGCTTGCTTCAAGCAGGTTCATTCAGCCCCTCACCTCACATTGGCTATCAGAGTCGCAGATTGAAACAGGCACAGCCCCGGCTGGGAAAGACGCGCCTGCAAAGGACGCTAAGCAGCTGCCAAGTATGTGGGCGCCTCGAAGCAAAATATTATAGTAAAGGACAATGATTGAGCTATATATATATATTAATATATAATGGCCCGTGGCTTAAGGGGACCCCCTCTCAAGGCCCCCCTGGAATAATTTATAGATTATCCTGACCCCTAGTCACATTGATGCTGGAAATTATTCTAATATGTCATTCACTTTCAGGAATAATTTCTAAACATCTGGGTGCAAAACCATGTGTATGGTCAACTTCAACTTCGTAGACCTTTTGAGTCCTTTTGGCTCTTCAATGGACAGGAGCGGCGCAATGAACTGGCAAAGCAGCCAGCAACTTGAGGCCAGGGGGAGGAGGTCGAAAGCTAGCCGAATCGCACCGGATGTACTGGTCACATGGTCGGCAAAGCATGTAGTGAGCACATGTTCTGGGAGGAAGGTTGCTATGTACATACTTTGCGCTAAAGAATGTAAATGTGACATCGCTGACTGGGACTGGGAAGGGTACATTGGAACAACCCGGGTGCACTCGTTGGCAGGCACGAAGATGCGTGATCGGCAAATCTGGGGGGTAAATTTCCCCTCCGCTTTTGTATGCCTTGAGGGGTAAGCATTTCTGACATCATACGGACTGTACATACACTAGGGCGTCCGTAGTGTAGGAGAAGCACGGGTAAAAGGT